GCGGAGCCCCGCGGGCCTGGCTCGGCCTTGGCACCACCAGCCCTTGGATCGGGACAGGGCCAGGACAGGGCAGTTTGTTTTGTCAGCTGGGAAGGAGAAGCTGGAGGATCAACTGAAACGCTCTCGAGTGGTTGCCACAAACAAATTGCAAGCTCCAAAAAGTATACTTCTGAGACCTTAACTTTCTATGCAAGAGCCCACGCGTTTACACAGTTGTCATAAAACCTGTGTGTGCAGCGTTCGGTTTTCACTGAGAATGAGATTTACTTCTATCCCAGAGGATGCAGAGCTGGAGACGGACGTGGTGGAAGCGGGAATTTCTGCACAGGTGACGTTTACCCTTGACACCAAGGAGCGAGCTCAGAGCTTCCCCTGCTCCCTTTGCTGCACCTAAGGGCTGGGGAAGGACTGCACTCCTTGTGCCCTGGCCGCACGGGGGCGAAGGACCACGCTGTCCGGGCAAACGCGGACCTGTGCCTCTCCTCCTGCCCGTCCCACCCACGCTGGAAGGGCTGCGTTGCGCCATGTAGCACCGACTGCCGGCTCCCGCGCCCCGCGTGCAACAGTACGTGGGGCTCCCAAATCGTGCCTTGGCCCACAGTGCCTGACTCGGTTTTACCCCACATCACTTAGGAAGAGCATCAGCCCAATAGCGACCTGTAACAGAGCAAGACAAAGTCTGCAAGTTGCTCTAGGTTCTGCGGGTGAAGTACAGTAAAAAATGTTACAGGCTGCTGTACAGATCTCCTATGAATTCAGTGGTTCCTTGAGAGCCAGTTACAGCTTTCTAAGACACATCATGTCCCAGCTTTGCTCTCTGACTGCTGAGACTGCAACCAGCTGATATTCCTTAATATATTATGCTTCATGTGGAATGAAGAAAGCAGGATCTTTTCTTAAAAAAAAAAAAAAAGTCATGTTACAAAGTCTACTGCTCTGAGTAATTTTCTTTGTGATTGTTTGAAATTTCTAATTAATGCAACTCTGTCAGCCTTTGATGTGATGAAAAATGCTGAAATATGATTTTCTAAAAATCATAAAAATACGCACATAACGATAGCTGCTGCTGCTGCTGCTTTCTCCCCTCCACCCCCATTTAGATCATCAATTTAATGATTTCCAGTTCCCTGACACCGGACCACACTGTGCCAACCATTTCTAAGCAGAGCTCTCCACTGATTTCCACAGGGGGCTACTTAAAGATCGATGGCCAGAGATGGCCTCCTGTACATATATTTTTCTCATATAGTGAAAGAAACTATATAAAAGCTCCAGCTATGTCAGTTAAATTTCCATACGTTTTTGCTGCTAATGTGAAATCAAAGGAAAGCTAGCCATTAGTTTTAGCCTTAAAAGCACAGCTGGTAGTCCGTACGGAGGAAGCGCACCCATGAATCCCAGGGTGGCACCCAGACCCATATCCAGTAATTACAGGCACGCGGACGCGTGCTGAAGTGAATGTGCTTGGGTGGATGTGCTTGCTGGCTGGAGCCAGGGGGATAACTAGTCAACTTCTGCTGGGTTTAAATCCATACCATTATATGCACCTCACATGGTAATTAGCTGGAAAATCCTGTGAGGGAGTCTCCTTTGCAAAAAAAGCGAAGTTACCTTTGGAAAGGTGGCACATCGCTTAGGCAAAGGTAAATGGAAGAGGACAAGCACTGCTAGTCCTTGTCCCTGCTGCGACAGTCAGACTTACAGCTCCTGTGTTGCAGCAGGACTGTTAGTAACAGGTTTCTTAAATGGTTTCCTTAGTCACTAGTGATAAAAATATTTTTATGACTTTGTCATAACTGTGTTAGGTAAGTGTTTTTTTTTTCTCTAGTGTTTTGTTAGTCTGCAACATTTTTTCTTTTAAGTTTATGAAAACTCCAGCAGACCTTTGTTAAGAAAAAGGCTTCAGTCTTAGGGTAAGTGAGCATCAGGTAGGATTATGAATCTTGAGGCCTCTTCCTTGTGAGCCCTGTTGTCTACATATAATCAGTCACAAGCATCTGGTCCTCACTGGATTCATCAAGTCCATCGTCCTCCCCTAACACTGCTGAGATGTCCCTTCTTCTTTACAGATCGCTGGAGTTTGGAAGAGTTCAGAACAAGAACATGTTTGAGGTTAGAAATAATGAATCAAACTCCACTCAAATCCTAAGTTCCTCTATAATAAATGCCAAAGACTTTTTACTTTGAGCAGTCAGGGTTCCTGCTCCCGGGCTGCACTCCGCAAAATCAAGCAAGGGCAAGGAAAGCTACAATTCTTGTACGCGCAGGTAACTCCAGGATCTGGGGTTTCAATAAACCCATCAAACATTTTGAGACTTGGCATAAATGACACAATTGCTGACACGCTTCACAGCAGGCAGGGAGCTCTTGGCTTTCCTCCGTTCTACCTACAGGCTCTGCGTGCCGCCCCCGGGGGCAAGACGTAGTTTCATCTGCTGTGGATGTGCCTGAAGTCGTGGCAGCGATGTGCGGGTGCTGTGTCTCCCCTGCGGTCTCCTCTTCGCACTTTTCTGATTTTCCTCGAAATCACTGCGGCTCTGGCTGCTGATGCCGAGGACGTTCCCGGCAACGCAGGAGTGGAGCAGGTCGCTCAGAGGCAGTCGCATTGCGCACTGACGTGAGCGCAGTCAACAGCAGTGCCCAAGGCTTCTTTTCCTCATCTTCAGCGAAAGGAAGGGCCATCCTTATGGCAGCAAATTCCTTCTCTAGTAAGCATATGTCTAGAGAGAAATATTTTCTCTATATGCCACAGAACATTAAGGATAACTTTGTCAGCTGCAGCTCTCAGTAGCATCACGCAGGAATAAATAAACATGAGGATGTTGAGGAATCTTTCATGTGCTAATTACTTTGGATAAACAGAGGCTTGGTAATCAGCAATGCCACATGGCTATTGCTAGCACGGTTTCGACAACAGTGCGAGCAAGGCCTAAGTGGCTGAAGTCTCCCAAAGATTAACAATGGTTTTAATGAGCTAACTGTGTTGCATTGGGAAAGGAGCCAGGATTTCAGCTGAGGAATGTGTAATTATTTGGATTAAAGAGAACTGAAAGATAGTCTTGCTTTTTTTTTTTCCTCCCTAGTTTCTTAGAAGCATAGGACTATACAGAGACAGGAGACATGGTCCAAACCTATGCCTAGAGCGGCTCTACACATGAAATATTTGCCTGCTTCCTAGAAGCTCATGAAAGACAGAGGGTGAAAAACTCAGTTTTCTGATTCTTTTCTTTGCTCTGCAGTAAAAGTCACCTACACGTGGTTGCATTTAAAAGTTTTGTTTGGCGTAGCTAGGTGTGGGGAACCTTACCACGAGCCCGGCTACACAATCAGAGGAGTCTTTTGCCAGTAAAGCTTGTTCTTCTCAGAGACCTAGGTTGAGCTTCCTGAGTTGCACCAAGTTTTATCAAGGTCTGAGTTTTGTTACTGAAAGGTTTAGCACCACGCAAACCCTTTGATATAAAATCTGGGAAGAACTGCTCTGCCAGGAGCAGGGCACGGACCACGGGCACCCGGAGCGGGTGAAGGAGCAGCACGGTGCTGGGAGCGGTCTCTGGTGAATGGGTAGATCCCAAGGGACCAGCGAAGCCCGTGCCTGAAAGCCCGTCCGGTGCAGAAGCTGGCCCTCTCCCTGGCAATTTCTCCCCAGAAACCAGGGTGGCAGGGGTGGCGGGGGGGGGCTTCTCTTTCAGCTCTCTCTTCTTGGCTTTCCCCCAGCAGGGGTCAGTCAGGACTAATGATAAAAAATAAAAAGTGACTATTCTTTTTGAGTATCAACTATTTACAGTGCCCCAGAAAGGAGAAAATATTTTCCCTTACTGAAAATGCAAAATATGCTTGTACATCCCGGTTTAGGAAAAGCAAAAGAAATACTGAAACAGTAACACACACAAATACAAGAAACATCCTGGAACATGCTACTGTTGATGTTTTAAAGAAACAGTGACCAAACTCTATTTCTACTCAATCCAACTAAAATCTCAGCCTCCTTCACTGATTTTTTTTTTTTTTGCAGTTATTTTGGATACACTTCAGTGTAACTGGAAACACAATTTAAGCCAGAATGTGGAGACTACAGAGTTACAACAGCAAAGTGCCACAGATGTGTCCTCAGAAGTGACGTGGCGCCCCCGGGGAGTGCGAATCCGTCACCGGCTGGAAATGTGAAGCTGTTACCTACAGAAACCATTCCTGCCTGGTCAGACTAAATAAGTAACATAAAGCAATATCGCTCTCAGGTTGACGTCTCCAGTAAACCCGGCTAGAGAGCCGGCAATATTTCATCGTCCTCAGCATGCACGAAAGGCAAAGAGCACCGTTCTTTACAGAAGAGCCAAAATGTTTGTCGCCCGTGCTGGGACAGCTCTCTCCAGCTCGCTAACACAGGCGAGGGCCCTGTGAGGAAGGCCACCCCTGTCCCCAGACGGGGCAGCAGGGCTAGGCCCACCTCGGCTGCTCTGCTAGCTCCTCTGTCCTGGCGGTGTGCCTCTGAGAAGACCCATCCACATGATGCTGCCGAGACCTCCTGGGCCATGGGATTCCCACGCAGGCGCTGAGCTGCGGTGTTGGAGCCTCACGCTCTTGGGTCACGCTGTGATGGTGTGAAACCTGAGTGTCTCCTTGTCCTTGCACAGCGGTGTCTCAGTGGCACCCCAGGGGGTTGTCCCCCACCTGCCACCCACCGACACTCCTGCGCACAGAAGGCGGCTCTGGTTAGGGCCAGGATGCCTGCTTGCCCCTTGAGGAGATGACCAAACGTGTCTTGGTTGCCACTCGCGGAGCATTTGGGCATATGAATGTTAAGGCAGAAGATCGCAATATCCTGGGTTGGGTTAGGCAGACTGGGAAGACCCGTGAAATGGGTGCTGCAGTTTGCCTGCACCAGCCCTGGTTCCCGATCTTTAGCCAGTCTGATGAGATTTTGTTTTGAAGAGCAAATTTGGGGAGCCACACTGCAGTCACCTGCGCAGTGATGCCACTCGGCTGGGCTGTCCCCAAGGCTTGCCGTCAGACGCTCTGGGACAAGAATGCTAAAAAGCAGGTGAAATGTATCAGCAATTCTGGCCCTTTTTTTCCTTCACCGTGAAAAAAAATTTGGCCAGCTTTGCCTCAGTTTATCCACCTAGTGAGAGGACACAGAGGATAGCAATTCATGCGTGGAATTTTAATGATAACTTTATTATATTTTAGTGTATTATTGGCTTACGATTTTGTAGTCTTACAAGAAATTTCCGTTTCCACATCTCCATTAAATGTCTGATTCATTTTCTTGGCTCAAGAGAATGCCTCCCAGCTACATCACTAAAGAATCAGTGTTCTGCATTAGATAAATATAAGACTGAGTGTGATTAACCTATTAACTATTTTTAATTAGCTTTTACTGTTCTTCAGATATTCCATGTTTTTGAGGAAGCCGAAAAAGAATTAGAATACTCTAGTATTATAGAGCTTTACAGAGCTAGCATATGGACCTAGATTATTCTTCATAATGGGCAGGAGCTCCGCTGCGGAGAATCTTGCAACAACATCACAATTTTCTTGCTACACTGAATGTCATAATGGACACATTTGCAGTGTGAGTTATGGACAAGAGTGAAAAATGTTAAATCTTTATAGCATTTTTATGCTCTGTCTTCCTTTTTGGTAATCAGATCTTGATTAAGAGTTGGAATTAGCCCCCAGAAGAATACTCGGATTTCCTGGCTCGGGTCCTTTCCTGAATGTAGGGCAGACAACAGATGATTCACTGGCTTTACAGTTCAGCTGCAACTAAAAGGTGTCTAAATACCTATCCATCACTTTTCGAAAGTAACTGACTACTTGCTCGCGCCGAAGAACACGCGGCAAAGGTGAAGCACAGAAAGACAAAATCACTGTTTTGAGATTCTCTTTGGCATTCCCTCTGCGAGCTGCACCGCATGGGCAGTAGTGCCCCCTCTCGTTCCCTCAGTCCCGGGCCGCCTATTTGCGGGTGCTTGCTCGCAGTAATTCCCTAAACACTGACCGGCCGGCCGGTTTCGGGCACCGGGAGCACCCGTGAGAGACAAGCGCCTCTTGTCCCTGTAGCTGTGCTG